GTGCGAAGATCGAATGTATTAGTCCACTCCTTCTGGTACCTCCCCTGCAAAGGGGTCAAAATTTTGAATATTCGTGAAGCTCATAAAACACGAAATTAACATCCGATTCCATTCAGACTAGGCACATCACAATATTTATGTCAGTACAAGATCTGTATGCCCATGAAGATAAATTTTAAAATATAAATGCAAACACACAAGTCATTTGTATTTTGTGTTGGTGCGCAAGGGGTTAATTGAAAAATAGTTTTTTTTTTTATTATTAATGATTTTTACCATTTTTTTTTTTGGATAAATCAACGTATTTTTAAATTAATTTAAATTAAATTAATTAACTAAATTAATTTAACAGCAAAATGACACAATTTCCCGACGAGGACGAATAACCAGAGTGGTGTTGGCGGTAGGAAAACTGCATGGAAAATGCTGAATTGCACAAAAACTATGCTAGCTGCGTCATTGCCAGAAAGTACTCCTCGAGACCTTTCATTTAAGACCCGCCTCAATGACGCAGCTAGCATAGTTTTTGTGCAATTCAGCATTTTCCATGCAGTTTCCCTACCGCCAACACCACTCTGGTTATTCGTCCTCGTCGGGAAATTGTGTCATTTTGCTGTTAAATTAATTTAATTAATTAATTTAATTTAAATTAATTTAAAAATACGTTGATTTATCCAAAAAAAATGGTAAAAATCATTAATAATAAAAAAAAAAACTATTTTTCAATTAACCCCTTGCGCACCAACACAAAATACAAGTGACTTGTGTCTTTGCATTTATATTTTAAAATTTATCTTCACGGGCATCAAGATCTGTTATAAATATGGTACAGATCGAACCATTCCTTTTGGTACTTCCTCCACAAAGGTTCAAGGTTTTGTATAACCACGATTATAAACGATTATAAAATCCAAAATAAGCATTCGAATTTCTTCCTATTTCACACATCCCATTATTTGTACTAACACAAGATCTGTTGTGAAGATGAGATACATCGGTCCACTCCTTCTGGTACCTCTCCCACAAAGGGTTAACATTTTGAATATCCACAAAGTTCTTCAAGTTCTTCGAAGTTCTTTTCAAACTCCACAAACCCTAATATTTCTATCGACACAAGATCGGGTATGAAGATGGTAGCGATCGAATCATTTCTTCCGGTACCTACCCCAGGTAGGTTTGAAGATTTGAAAAACAAAACGCTCAAGGTAAGCGAAATTAGCATCCAACTCTCTTCAAACTTCACACACACAAACATTTTGCTAACACAAGATCTGTTGTGAAAACAAGTAAAAAAGCTGTAAGTTCGGCCAGGCCGAACTTTAAATACCCTCCACCATATGGAACGAATTTTTGCGAAACTTAAAAAAATCGGTGAATAATGTAGCTAAAATTATCAAAATATCGAATATCAAGTGGTACCGGGGGCTATACGAAGACGTGGACCTGCAAAGACAATTTTCTGTCTTAGTCTGTAGTATCAATTTCGAACTTCAAATGCCAAATTTGAAGCAATTTCGGTGAATAATGTCACCAAACACACCAAAATACCGAATATCGGAAGGTACCGTTATATGGGGGCTATACGAAGACGTGGACCTGCACAGACAATTTTCTGTCTTAGGCTGTAGTATCCATTACGAACTTCAAATACCAAATTTGAAGCAATTCCGGTGAATAATGTCATCAAAAACACCAAAATACCGAATATCGGGAGGTACCGTTATATGAGGGCTATACCAAAACGTGGACCTACATGGCCCATTTTCAATACCAAAAGTCCTGCAGACAAAATATACATTTAAGCATAATTTTATCTATCTACTTCAATTCGTTCGGAAGCTAGAGTGATTTCCACAGACGGATAGACGGACGGACATCGCTAAATCGACATAGAATTTTATGCTGATCAAGAATATATTTTTGTGGAGTCTAAAATGTATATTTCTAGGTGTTACAAACGGAATGACAAACTTAATATAACCTCCATACTATGGTGGAGGGTATAATGCGAACCCTATCTGCGAACCCCTTCAGGTACCTCACCAACAAAGTGTCACTATTTCCAATAATTCTATCTGACATAACTTGTGAAAAAAGTCAGCTATTCTTTACAACTTGCTACATCAAAATATTTATCTCAATCAGAAGCCTAAGATGAATATTGAATTTATGATTTCGCATAAAATTGGATAGAAATGTTAGATAATGCCCATACGAATGTTTCTTTTATCTCTATTAGATGAAGTATTAAAGTGGAATACTTCGCTCGACTATATCTGGTACTTCACACAGATTTTATTATCTTCTAAATCACATATCTTATATAAACTTAAGGAAGTAACAGTCCAGGAATAGAAGTATAGTCCCAACCTGGCACTTCACAATATTTATATCATATTTATTCAGGTGCGATACGAAATGGAAAATATTGGCCGATTCTCTCGGAATCTACTCCATTGAGGGTCAACAATTTCAATAATTATAACAGAAGTCAAAATATATTTAAATCATTGAAAAGAAGAGGGAAAATGGAGATTTTCGAATTTTGGGCAACAAATTTAAATTCTAAATCGTAATATGGGTTGACTTTCAAAATTATTCTGGTAAGCTGAGCCGTGTAATTGTCGTGTACACATCTGATAAAAATTGGCTGCAATCTCGGTATTTCTTTGACAACTATTTTCAAACAATTTCCTTAGTGGGTTTTGGCCTTTGTATTCAATAAAATTCTTGAATTAAAAAAGTGTGGCCCTTAGTTTATATGTTGCATCGCTTATAGAAGTAACTTGGATTAAGGAATCATTTTTGTATGGATGCAATAAAATACGTATACCGCAAATCTACATCTATAAAAGAGGAAAATGTTTGTATGTTTGTTTGTTTGTTTGTAATTTATGGACTCCAAAACCGCTGAACAGATTTTCCTGAAAATTTCCATATATACTGCAACATCGCCTGAAAGTAACATAGGCTATATACATTTTTGAATTTCCACTTGGAACTGGAGATACAGCATCAGAATCGGAGGTACCTCCCAAAAATTTAGATTTTATATGCACATATCTATTGATTGGTTGAAGATACAGTCTCCAAATTTGGAATACGTAACGTAATTAGGAACAAAAATAAGTTTGCCAAAATTATATTGTAATCGGTTCAGATTTGGATATAGCTCCCATATATATTTTCGACCGATTTCGTTCATTTGATGCCTCAAACACAATATGAATGTTCGATTTCAATGAAATTTACAATGTGTGACGGGATTTGATCCGAAAATAAATTTGTCAAATTATATTGAAATCGGTGCAGATTTGGATTTATGGGAGCTAATATTTTCGGCCGATTTCAAGCATTTGATGCACCAAACACACTATGTATCCCCAATTTCAATGAAATTTGAAACGTGTGATAGATTTTATCTAAAAAATTGATTTCCCAAATTATATTGAAATCGGTTCAGATTTGGATATAGCTCCCATATATATTTTCGGCCGATTTCATGTATTTGGTTGACCAAACACGACATGTATTCCCAATTGTAATGAAATTTAAAATAAGTAACGGAATTTGGAGCCAAAATGAATTTGTCAAATTAAATTGAAATCGGTTCAGATTTGGATATAGCTCCCATATATATTTTCGACCGATTTCATGTATTAGATGCACCAAACACGCTATGTATCTCTAATTTCAATGAAATTTTGAATGTGTAGCGGAAATTAAAACAAATATACATTTGTCAAATTGTATTAAAATCGGTTCAGATCTCTCATATATATTTTCGACCGATTTCATGTATTTTATGCACCATACACGATATGTATGTTCGATTCCAAAGAAATTTGGAATATGTAACGGGATTTTGATTAGAAAATAAATTAGTCAAATTATATTAAAATCGGTTCAGATTTGGATATAGCTCCCATACATATTTTCCGCCGATTTCAAATATTTGATGCTCAAAACACGATACGTATTTCCGATTTCAACGAAATTCGTCATGAGTGGCTAAATTTGGTACAAAAATAAATTTGACAAATTATATTCAAATACGCTCAGATGTGATTATAGCTCCCATATATATACTCAGCCGATTTCAAATATTTGATGCACCCAAAGCGAGAGAGACAAAATCTGGCACCAGCAAAAATTGCCAAATTATATTGAAATCAGTTGAAGTTTGGATATAGCTAACATATATATTTCGGCCGATTTCATACATATTATGCACCATATAATAAGAACCATTGACCCACAACGCCTTAGGCTAACACTAAAAAACAACACAACAATTTATTTGACATACGCTTATTACGGCGAAGTATGTTGCTATCTCGAATTCACTAATTGCAATAGAAATGCCACTCTATTTAAAAAAAATTGCAGTTGATTTTGTTTATTAACGCATTAAATTAGTGCAATATTTTTTTTTTAATTTTTAAATTTGTTTTTCTTCATCCAACATATATTCGTAAATAAAATTTTGAATGCATATAAAATCAAAAGGGGTAGCGAAGCGCACCGGGTTCAGCTAGTATATTTATATAACTGCCCTTATTACCTAATGATTGTAATAAATATCTACTACAGAATTAGAAAAAAAAATCCAGTAGTGCGATTCTGTAATCATTTTGTCGTGACTACCGAAATTGATAAAAATAATTAAAATTCATGTAAAATTACAAAAGTATGTTCACCAATTATTCCACATACGAAAAAAATATCAATTATCAGAGATAACATTATCAGTGCCTCATATCTACATAGAAAAGTTATATTCCAAAAGAAACTTACCATATCTTTATAATGGAGGTGTGGTTCTGTCCATACCCATATTTTTTCACTAAAACAAAAGAAACGTAAAAAACTTTGTCAATTACTTGGAAACAAAAATATAATCGAAGACAATAATGCAAACATGATGTTCTTAACACAAAATAAAATAGAAAACAAAAGGGAAAACAAAATCATTACCAATTATATCAATTAACAACGGCTATGACTCATTTGTGGCGATGATAAGGACCAGACGACGGAAAACTTTCTTCAATATAAATATGACACAGTTCGGCATTAAACTGTCACAATCACAAAAAAGATTGAAAACGAAAAGAGAAATGCACAAGGGTAAAATAAATTATGAAACACATATGTTAAGTATATAAATAAATTAATTATATTATTTTCAATTACAGTTGCCGTAGTTGTTGTCTGTGCCCTGGTGGCCATTGTATCCGGTGTCGAGGTACAATTGAATCACTTTGAGCCTCAGGATATCTATGCTGAGCCCAATTGTGCAATTGTCAAAGATCACAGCCGCATGTTCCGTGATATTTCTGATCCCACCCACTATTGGATCTGCCCCGAAGGACAAGAAAAGGCCTCCTACATCCAATGTCCACCCAATGAGGCTTTCATGGAAAAGCCACAAAGATGTGTTCCCTGGGAGGAATGGAAGTGGGTTGAACCTTACACCAAATAAATTGAAAATATTTAATTGGATTGGGAATTTGAGTGAATAAGGATTTTAGAAAAAATAAATTGGTAAACGAAAATGAGCTGCATTTTATTTTATTTATAAAATTATACAAAAGTTATTTTAGATCATGAGCTAAAATAAACTTTATAAGATAAACATGTAAAATAAGCAATTCGGCCCAGCCGAAGCTTTTATACCTACCACTATTTGGAAGGTAACTTATGTAAAAATATATCTTTAAATAACGGAATTTCAGTATTCGAGGGGTATCAGTTACTTGAATATCTAATTCCAATTTTAAAAAATTCTGTAAAAAAGTTGACAACATTCATCCCGAATATCGGGGAAATAGGGGCTACGGTAGGGGCTACGCTATATCGACAATATGCTATTAATTGAGGTAGAAACAATTATAAATTCAAAATACCGAATTTAAAAATACTGCATACGCAATATTTTTGTCATAGGCTGTAGAACCCATTACGAAGGGCAAGTACGAAATTCCGGTGAATTATGACGCCGAAATCATCAATAGTCATCAATCAATAGTCATATGGGGGCTATACTCAAACGTGGACCTATATAGCCTATTTTCAAAATCAGAAGTGCTGCAGACCAAAAAAACATTTGAGTAAAATTTTATCAACCTACTTCATTTCATTCGGAAAGTAGAGTGATTTCCACAGACAGACGGACGGACATCGCTAAAATGTACGGGGTGATATAAAAACAAGTAAAAAAGCTGTAAGTTCCGCCGGGCCGAACTTTGAATAACCTTCACCATTTGGAACGAATTTGGCAATTCTCAAAAACAATAAAATCCGTTAAAAATTCTGTTAAAATATTAAAAATACCGAATGTAGCTGTTATATTAGGGTCGACGACATGGACTTGCCATTACAATAGACAAATGCATTGGTGAATAATGTAGATAAAATCATCAAAATGTCGAATATCGGGAGGTATCGTTATATTGGGGCTATACGAAGACGTTGATCTGCACAGATAATTTTCTGTCTTAGGCTGGAGTATCCATTACGAACTTCAAATACCAAATTTGAAACAATTCCGGTTAATAATGTCGCTAAAATCACCAAAGTACCGAATATCGGGAGGTACCGTTATATGGGGGCTATACCAAAACGTGAACCTACATGGCCCATTTTCAATACCAAAAGTCCAGCAGATATAATATACATTTGAGTAAAATTTTATCAATCTACTTCAATTCGTTGGGAAGCTAGATTGATTTTTACAGACGGACAGGTGCATAGACGAATTTTATGCTGATCAAGGGGTCTAAAGTGTATATTTCGAGGTGTTACAAACGGAATGACAAACTTAATATATTTTCCATCTATGGTGGAGGGTATAAAATCTGCATCAAAGTCAAACGCTATAATTTCTACATTTTTTTTTTAAATTTTATTGAAAGAAAGCAAAAAATGTCGAAAATAGCATCAACTTTTAGAATAAGTTTAGATTTGTTCGAATTGGTTACCTTTGACTGGAATTATGGCCTTCAAATGGCCAATTAAACCGTCACACGCTGCCCGAATGTTGCTTTGCGGTATTTTGGCCGATTCCTGGCGAAGCGCTTGCTTGAGGTGATCGACACTTTGATATTTTTTTTAGTTCCAACCTTGCTTTCTAAAATACTCCAGATACAATAGTCCAACGGATTGGTATCCGGAGATTTTGGTAGCCATTGTGGGCTGGAAATGAAGCGATTCTTGGGTGGCGAGTGCGATTGTGCTGAGTCCTGTTGGAATGTCCAAGGTCTGCGACCAAAATGTGAGGTTGCCCAAGGCTTTAATACATCGTCCAGAACATTTTCGCGATAATATTCGGCATTTATTCTGATGCCACGGTCGATGTATACAAGCGGAGGCCCGCACGACTAACATGGCCGGCGCTTGAGTTCTGGTGCCCAACCGAAGATGCACATTTTCAGCTTACCTCGATCATTTTGTTTGTTTACAAACTGCTGGACAACGAATGTTTTCTCATCGGAGAAAAGCAAATTCGACAGTTCACCAGTTCATTTGCGGCCGAGCGAAGCTACCCTTTAGCTCTTTTTAATCTATTTTCTTTCTGTTGCGGTGAAAGTTCTTGCACTTTTTGGAATTTCAATGGCTTTATCCCGTGCTCATTTTTCAATATTTGCCGAATGGAATATTGCGATATGTTCAGCTCACAAGTCTTTTTTTCGACCACTGCGACGCGGGCTCCGATCAAGTCGTTTCTTTACTTTTCAAACCATTTCTACTGATTTTGCTGTTTTCTTCCGTCCATTTCATTGATGTCGGGCTACGAGACACAAAAGATTTACTTACTTTTAAATGCTGGATTGCTCTAACGATAGCCACTTGTGGTTTTCCCGCTAAATATAAAGAAATCACACTATCACGCTTGAATTGCATCACGAATAACTTTTTTTCTGGAAAATTCTCACCAAAACGCCTTTGTACGCTTATAAACGATATAATGAGCTATCACTGGAATAATTTTAACAGCCATCGGACGAGTGGCTTAGAAATGACAGCAGTCTAAAGTTGGTTGCAGTTTTTTTTATCTCACCCTGTGTGGCCTTATGGTCGAGGGTATAAAAATGTTGAAGAGTGGAGAACTCCTTACCCCCTCAACATAGGTTACTTTGCGATTTACGCCGATACATGTGTCTTTTATTTTTGGCTCTACTTTCCTAATCTACTGGATTTTTCTGGAAATTATTGAAAACGTTTCAAGTTTGTTCCGCAGTATTAATAACATTTATTTAAATTAATTAAACAATTTAAATGGCTTGACAATACAAAAAAATTAAGAGTGACGTGTCATGTTAAAAATATATGCATGTAACCCTTGTATATCAATACCACATTCGTCATTTACTTCCGAATTTTTCAAAATTTAAATCCTCGCAACCAACACACAATCCGCTTGCCATATAGCTCCAAAATAAAAACAACAATGCTGCTCGAATAACCCACCGATAAAACAAACATCATTGCCCTCAAAGTATTGAAGGTAATATCCAGTTCCGAGGTCCCTTTTATATCCCCCTCCTGTAAATAATCGCTTTGACCATGACTCTTGGCCCTTTGAAACAGCGACCGCTTGTGATGCTCATAGATGCCACTCTCACGCAGACGAAGTATGAAAAAATAAAACAACTCAAGAAAATGACTATCGGCACGCAGGGGAAATTGCAGGGTGTAGGGTCCATGGCAAATGTTGGTGAGACGAAAGAGTTTCGGATGCAAGTAACGCTGTTGTTGTTCCAAAAACACATACTCTTCCTTGGTAACCAAATACATAAACGACGAATTGAGTTGGGAGCGATGAGCTTGGATGTCTTCATAGGAGGTGGTTCGAATTTTGTCCCGATCAAAATCATCTATCTTATAGAGTTTCGCAAATAACTCTACGTCATAGCCCCGGGTCATGATGGGTATGCGAGCGGAAAAAATGTCTTCCAATCGAATGTTAGCTGCTCCCTTAACATAGCTCGCGGTAAGCAGGGATGTAAAGTGACAGGAAAACATTTGTGAGATACAGTTGCCACTAAAGGCAATAATGAAATAGACAATGAGGAGGCGTAGAAAGGCAAAGCTGCGAAGATGTACAAAGGATGGCAATGGTAATTGGGGTATGGGAATTCCGAATAGAACACCAATGGCATAGAAAGGACGATAGTGTAGCCAGCTGTAGCCACGATTTACTTTTCGACAATAGCGAGGATAGAATTTCCACAGAACTTCGTATAACACCATAAAGACACCTAGGAATGCGTACAGCTTCCATGTTATGAAACGATAAAAGCCAATGGTCACCTTCCTCGGCCTGGGCATCATAATGCAGCGTGAGGTACTCACAAAAGGATAACTGAAGTCCACATCATTTTCCTTGCGAAGAACTGTCAGTAGCTGGGGACTCAATTCGATTTCTCCACTGCGTAGTAATTCAAAGTGTCTGGCAGGACGAACAACATAGGAATGGTTAAATTTTAAAGGATATACCTTCAGGGTGACATTGACACGTGACATTAACTCATTTATAATCCAGGCAGCTGAGCCATCAGCCTTAAACTTACGAGTTTTTTCGTCTCTATAAAAATATGTCGAAGGTATATCAGTTTGTACGGGCATGTGGACTATGTAACCCTTGAAATCCTTTATGCCATTCGCAATGGGAAACCATGTGGCCATTGGTTCCAAGGTTACATTTACAATTTTCAGTTCAGGATATGGATCCATGGTAAGCAGATCTTTGCCATTACCAATAACCAAAGGCCGTCTCAGCTGGTATTTCCACAACTGACCGAATAGATAATGAAGATCCTTGGGATTGCTATTGCCATACAGGAGATAAATTGTAAAACAGGACCGATGATGACGTGTTGCATTGGCTGTCGCCTTTAACACCGTATCATAAACGCTATGCATTATAGTCAATACCATATCCTTATGACCCATATTGGCAATGTCATATAAAGGTGAGGCTATGTCCCTCTCTCGCAAAGACAAATGTGGTAATCCGTGCAAATAGCTATTCTCCTTTTGGTGTAGCTTCGACAAAAAATCTCGCAATAGATTATTGTCCTGTATTTTCGAATTGTAAATAATGTACACTGAGGTCATATTCCAAAACTCTGCAATTTGATCTATTAAGTTGGCCATCTTCGTTGCCTGGGAAATCGCTTGACCTCGTTGGGTATTGGTTTTATAATTTAAGATTTTATTAAATTTATCGACGTCATTCGTTGAGATGTTATTGGTATTTAAGAACAGGAAAATTAACACAAAATGCCAATTCATTTTGACCACTTCTTTTTTGTAAATGTTAAGTTTTGAAATGATTTTGAATTTTCATTAAGTTGGGCAGAAACCCCTCGACCAGGGATGGATTTTGTATATCATATCATGGGAATTGAAATAATTAATGCAATAAAATGCACACGAAATTGCACTGTCTTCTAATTATAGGGAGCAGTTTAAAGTATCCAATTAACAAGGAGCCAGAAATACAATTAGATACCCAATGTGCTCTACTCCTATATGTGTATCCCGGAAGGATTGAAAATGTAAACAAGTAAAAAAGCTGTAAGTTCGGCCGGGCCGAACTTTTAATACCCTCCACCATTTGGTACAAATTTGGCAATTTCCAAAAAAAAAATACCGTTAAAAATTCTGTTAAAATCTTAAAAATACCGAATGCTTATACCACGACGTGAGCCTGCATAGGCAACTTTTGTCATAAATTATTACAATATTTAAATGCGAAACTTGAAGAAAAATCTGTTTATAATGTAGCTAAAATCGTCAAAATACCGAATATGGGGGAAACCGTTATATGGGGGCTATACGAAGACGTGGACCTGCACAGACAATTTTCTGGCATGGGCTGAAGTATCCATTACAAATTTAATATGCGAAATTTGAAAGAATCCTTGTAAATAATGTCGCTAAAATCATTAAAATACCGAATATCGGGGGGTACCGTTATATGGGGGCTATATGAAGACGTGGACCTACATGGCTCATTTTTTTACTTTGGATGAAGTATCCATTACGAACTTCAAATACCAAATTTGAAACGATTCCGGTAAACAATGTCGCTACAATCATCAAAATACCGAATATCGGGGGGTACCGTTATATGGGGGCTATATGAAGACGTGGACCTGCACAGATAATTTTCTGTCTTAGGCTCTGGTATCCATTACGAACTTCAAATACCAAATTTGAAATAATTCCGGTGAATAATGTCGCTAAAATCATCAAAATACTGAATATCGGGAGGTACCGTTATATGGGGGCTATATGATAACTTGGACCTACATGGCCCATTTACGAACTTACCTACTGGGAAAATATACATGTGTGCAAAATTTTAGCCTTCTATCTCCATTCGTTCGAAAGATAGCGTGATTACAACAGACAGACAGACGGACATGGCTAAATCGTCTTAGAATTTTACGCTGATCAAGAATATATATACTTTGTTGGGTCTGACATGAATATTTCGAGGAGTTACAAACGGAATGACAAAATTAATATACCCTCCATAGTATGGTGGAGGGTATAAAAATGATGATAAGTTAGGTCGCTTTGGAAGTTGTGATTTCCTTAAAATTACCCTTATTATACCTTAAGCAATAGGGCTAGAGATGGCACTTGATATGGCCAAAACGTGCCTCATCGAAATAACGGTTTTAGACTTTACAACTCTTTGGATTAAAACCGTTTAAGGGTATTTGGAATAGATCTAGCGATGTCCGGTTTTTAGTCTTGAACTCTCGAAGGGAGTATCCGATTTGATCTAAACTTGGTACATATTCATATTATTATCAAACTTAGATCGAGTTCGGAGATGGGCAACATCGGTCCACTCCTTCAGGTGCCTTCCCCACAAAGGGTCAAAATTTGGAATAATTAGGACCCTTATAAAATGTGATGTAAGAGCCCGATTGTCTTCAAATTTCACACATCCCAACGATTTTATTAACCCAAGGTTTGGTCTTAAAATGAAATATATCTGTCCACTCCTTCTGATACCTCCCCACCAAAAGGTCGACATTTTCAAAAAAATGTTTCCTGCACAGAAAGAGAAATAATAATCCGATTTTGCTCCAACTTTGCAAAGCCTAATATTTGCATCAGTGCTAGGCCAGGTGCGCAAATGGACAATATCGATACACTCCATTAAGTTCCTCCCCCACAAAGGGTCACAATTTTGAATAATTGTAACTCTTTAAAATATGATGTCAGAATCCGAATGCCTTAAATTTTCACACATCCCAATATGTTTATACACCAACGATTTGGTTTTAAGATGGAATATATAGGTCCACTTCTTTTGGATCAAAGTTTCGAATAACCGAAACGATCGCAAAAACCGAAATAACCATCCGGTTCTCTTCATATTTAACACAACCCAATATTTCTACTAATATAAGATATGCTGTGAAGGTGGTACATATCGGTCAATTTCTTCTTCGCTCATAGAAGACGAAATAAGCATCCACTCTCTTCAAATTTCACACACACAAGCATTTTTTCTAACACAAGATCTATTGTGAAGATGATATACAGGGTGAGATGAAAAACTGCAACCAATTTCAGACTGCTCTCATATCAAAGCCACTCGTCCAACAGCTGTTAAAATTTCCAATTCCAGTGACAGCTTATTATATTGTTTACAAGCATACAAAAGCATTTTGATGAGAATTTTCCAGAAAAAAGTTATTCGTGTTCCAGAAAAAAAGTTATTCGTGATGGAATTCAAGCGTGATAGTGTGATTTCTTTATATTAGACAGGAAAATTACAGGTGGCTATCGTTAGAGCACTCCAGAATGAAATGTGAATGAATCTTTTGTGTCTCGTAACAACGCTCATTACCGTGATACTTGTAGCGTAGCCCGACATAGTCAAGGAAGTGGAGGGAAGAAAACAGAAACATTAGCAGAAATTCGAAAGTTCGAAAAGTAAAGCAGCGACTTGATCGAACCCGCGTCGCATTGTCCGAAAAATGGCTAACGAGCTGAACATATCGCAATATTCCATTCGGCATTGAAATTCCAAAAAGTGCAAGAACTTATACCGCAACAGAAAGAAAATAGACTCAATAGAGCTAAAGAGTTGCTTCGCTGGGCCGAAAGTGGTGAACTACCGAATTTTGTTTTTTCCGCGGAGAAACATTCGTTGTCCAGCTGTTTGCAAACAAACAAAATGAACGTGTTAAGTTGCCAAAGAGGTCAGCTGAAAATGTGCACATTTGGTTGGCCACCAGAACTCAAGCGACGGCCATGGTGATGGTGTGGGCCGCCATAACAGCCGAAAAAATCTCCGGATACCAATCCGTTGGACTATTGTGTCTGGTGTCAACATTCGGGCAGCCTGTGACGGTTTCATTGGTCGTTTGAAAGCCATAATTCGTGCCAAAGGTGACAAATACGAACAAATCTAAACTTATTTTAAAATTTTATACTATTTCCGATATTTTTTGCTTTCATTCAATAAAATTTATAAAAAATGTAAAAATTATGGTATTTGACTTTGTTGCAGTTTTATCTCACCCTGTATGCAAATATTTCTATGTATCGGCCCTCATACCTAATGATTGCAATAAATATCTTCTACAGAATTGGAAAAAATACCAGTAGTAAAAGAAACTGATCATATCTTTATAATGGAGGTGTAGTTCTGTCCTTGCCCATCTTTATCCACTAAAACGAAAACAACATAAAAAAATTTTCGATTAATGTAATCATGATTTCCCTAAGAAACAAAAAACTAAATAAATAGTTTAAAAATATGAACTAAAATGCGTCCTTTAGGTCACGAATATATGCTTCAATATTTTTATTTTGATACCGATGACTTGTGAATAGTTCTAAATACGAACGAGTTGCATTTTTTTCTTTTGTTCTATAAAGGAACTTTTTGATCAGTAATATCCACTTTGGATAATACTTTTTTTCAAATAAAACTCAATTAATTTTCTTCTACCAATTTATTTTTTCTAGAAACTTTATTCAATACTCAAATTCCCAATCGAATTAAATATTTCCAATTTATTTGGTGTAAGGTTCAACCCACTTCCATTCCTCCCAGGGAACACATTTTTGTGGCTTTTCCATGAAAGCCTCATTGGGTGGACATTGGATGTAGGAGGCCTTTGCTTGTCCTTCGGGACAGATCCAATAGTGGGTGGGATCGGAAATATCGCGGAACATACGGGTGTGATCTTTGACAATTGCACAGTTGGGCTCAGCATAAATATCCTGAGGTTCAAAGTGATTCAATTGTACCTCGACACCGGATACAATGGCCACCAGGGCACAGACAACAACTACGGCAACTGTGGGGGGAAAATGCATTATATTATTTGTTTATTTATATAATTGAAATATATGTTTTATAATTTGTTTTACCCTTGTGCATTTTCCTCTTCGTTTTCAATCTTTTTTGTGATTGTGACAGTTCATTGCCGAACTGTGTTATATTTATATTGAAGAAAGTTTTCGTCGTCTGGTCCTTATCATCGCTGCAAATGAGTCATAGCCGTTGTTAATTGATATAATTGGTAATGATTTTGTTTTTCCTTTTATTTTTTTAAGAACACCATGTTTGCATTAATTGACAAAGTTTTTTTAGTTTTCTTTCGTCTAAGAGCAAAAATATGGGTTTGGACAGAACCACACCTTCATTATAAAGATATGGTAAGTTTCTTTTTATACCCTCCACAATAGTATAGAGGGTATATTAATGTTGTCATTCCGTTTGTAACAACACGAAATATACATTTTAGACCCCACAAACTACTCGTATACATATTCTTGATCAGTATAAAATTCTATGTCCGTCCGTCTGTCTGTCTATCCATCTATCTATCCGTCTGTGGAAATCACTCTCGCTTCCGAATGAATTGAAGTAGTGTAATCTGCAGGAATTTTGGTATTGAAAATTGGCGATATAGTTTAAGTGTACCCCCACCCATATAATTTTACCTGCTATGTTCGGTATTTTTAAAGATTTTAGTGACATTATTCACCGGAATTTTTTCAAATTGTTTTGTATTTGAAGTTCCTAGTAGGTACTACAGCCTGTGACATAAAATTGTCTATACAGGTTCACATCTTCGCATAGCCCCCAAATATCGGTACTTCCCTATATTCGTTATTTGGATGATCTTAGCTACATCATTCACCAGAACGGTGTCAAATTTCGTATTTTAACTTCGTAATGAGTACAACCTGTGACATAAAATTGTCTATGCAGGTTCACATCTTCGTATAGCCCCCATATGCCGGTACCTCCCTACATTCGGTATTTTGATGAATTTAGGTACATTATTCATTGGAATATTTTTTTTTTTTCGTATTTAATGTTCGGAGTCGGTACTACAGCCTATGACAAAAAATAACTTATGAAGGATCATAAATATCTCTCAAATGATGCCCCCATATAAGGGGTTTCATATGTATTTTCTACGATTTTTTTTGAAATTTTTCAATTTCCCTGTAAATGGTGGAGGATATTAAAAGTTCGATCCAAGCGAACTTAGCTGCTTTTTGACTTGTTGAATGTAATTTCAAGATGTAGATATGAGGCATTGATAAAGTCATGTGATTGTTCTATCTGATAATTGATATTTTTTTCGTATGTGGAATAATTGGTAAACATGCTTTTGTAATTTTACATGAATTTTAATTATTTTTAACAATTTCGGTAGTTAAGACAAAATGCTTACAGAAACGCACTACTGGTATTTTTTTCTAATTCTGTAGTAGATATTTATTAAAATCATTAGGTAATAGGGACAGATATACTAACATATTTGTATATACAGGGAGAGATAAAACGACTGCAACAAAGTCAGACGCCATCATTTTTACATTTTTTTTTAATTTTATTGAATGAAAGCAAAATATGTCGGAAAAGCATAAAATTTTAGAATAAGTTTAGATTTGTTCAAATTGGTCACCTTTGGCACGAATTATGGCTTTCCAACCGTCAAATGCCGCCCGAATGTTGCTCTGCGGTATTTTAGTCCATTCTCGGCGAAGCGCTTGCTTGAGGTGATCGACACTGTAGTATTTGTTAAGTGCCAACCTTGTTTTCCAAAATACTCCAGACACAATAGTCTAACGGATTTATATCCGGAGATTTTGGTGGCCATTGTGCGCTAGAAATGAAGAGAGGAACCTCATTTTGTAACTATTTTTGGGTGACGTGTGCTGAATGCGATGGTGCTGAGTTCTGTTGGAATGTCCAAGGTCTGCAGACAAAATGTGCATGGTCTGCGCATGGTCAATGCTTTAATACACCCTCCAAAATATTTTCGCGATAATATTCGGCATTTATTCTGATGTCACGGTCGATTAATACGAGCGGAAAGCGACCATCGGCTGTTATGGGGCCCACACCATCACCATGGCCGGCGCTTGAGTACCGGTGGCCAACCGAGATACACATTTTCAGCTGACCTCTTTGGCAAGTAAACACGATCATTTTGCTTGTTTAGAAACTGCTGGACTACCAATGTTTTCTCATCGGAGAAAACCAAACCAAATTCGGCAGTTCACCACTTTCGGCCAAGGGAAGCAACCCTTTAGCCCTTTTGAAAATATTTTCTTTCTGCTGTTTATGGAATTTCAATGGCTTTACCCCGTTACCTCATTTTTCAATATTTGCCGAATGGAATATTGCGATATGTTCAGCTCAAGAGCCATTTTACGGCCACTGTGACGCTGGTTTCGATCAATTCACTTCTTTCATTTCCGAACCATTTCTGCTGAGGTTGCTGTTTTCCTCCGTCCACTTCCCTGACGTCGGGCTACGCTACCAGTATGACGGTAACAGAATATATATATTCTCATTTAAATGCTGGAGTGCTCTAACGATAGCCACTTGTGGTTATCCAGCCAAATATGAAGAAATCACACTATCACACGTGAATTCCATCGCGAATAACTTTCTTCTGTAAAATTCTCATCAAAATTCTTTTGTACGCTTGTAAACAATATAATGAGCTGTCACTGAAATAATTTTAACAGCTGTCGGACAAGTGGCTTAGAAATGACAGCAGTCTGAAGTTGGTTGCAGTTTTTTCATCTCACCCTGTAAAGTGAAGGAAGTAGCAGATAAAGTCCGAGCCTGACCCTTCGGAACATACTCAATAGAGGGTTAACAATATAAATAATCATAATAGAAGTCAAAATATTTTTAAATAATCGAACATTGGCTGAAGGTATACATCTGTCGAAAAAAACCGACTGATACTTTTTAACTTTCATTTTGAAAATTTCGAGTTTTTTTGCGGAGGTACCGGAGGGAGTGGACCGATATTGCCCATCACCGAACTCGATTTGTTAATAATCTTACGATGTATCAAGTTTGAATCAAATCGGACACTCCTTTCGAGACTTCCTACGGACTTCACTCGAAATGTCCTGAAACGGATTTGGTCAAAAGGGACCTAGGGTCTAAATCCGTTTTGGCCGTATCAAATGATATATACCTCACTGGCCATATGGAATTATCTACTAACAAAAAAAAAAATATATTGAATATAGAATAATTAAGAGGGTCAAATATCATGCATAGTGAGCCTCTTGGAGGTTCAAAAGACCATGTCAATTCGATAGACTGCATCACTTTGATTTTTTAAGCAAAATTAAGTATTTTTCAGTGATGTAACTTCCAATAAATAAACGAGTTTTTCATTCGCTTTTGTCGACATATTACTTTGTATTTGCTCCTGATATTGATTACCTATCTCATTCGACTTGGGTAAATGGACATTGGCTACTCTTGGTTTCGAAAATTAGGGTTTCAATACCATTGCACTTTTCTTTACAAAAATTTCGGACAAAAGAATTTTTTGCGATAGCTCGATTTTTTTGAGAATTGCTAAAATGTCGAAAAATTCACAAATTCTTCGTCCAGTAGATGGGTCGCGATCTCTGTTGTCAAGCCAAATTATAAACATTGAGATAAAATCAAACGTTGCAAACTGAAAATCAATTAAAGAAAAAGAAGACACAATCTTAGTTATCTTTCGTTAAAAATAGAAATAATAGAAATAGGCGTGGTGTCATTGCTGCTATAAAAGGCCAATGTTTGCTTGCAAACGACTGTGTGAATCTCCTCTCAGAATAGTTTTCCAAACTCTAACCATGAAATTCTGTAAGACAAACAACTTTTAATTTTTTTATAAATAATATAGAAATAATGACAATATTTTATTTTTTTACGTTTAGTTATCAGTTTGGCTTTATTCGCTTCGCTGGCTATTGTCGCCGTAAATGCCCTGGCCGGCCAATCGGCCTGTCGTGATCCCTCCGAAGTTGGCCAAACCTATCCCCATCATTGGGATCCCTCGAAATATTGGTTCTGTGAAAAATTGAATGAAGTTGCCGTTGAAAAGGATTGCCCCAAGGATACCGCCTACATGCATTTGTTGAAGGCCTGCATTCCATGGGCCAACTGGGTGTGGAAGAAACCTGAAAATCCACCAACAGTAGCTTAAGGTTGTAAACGGGCCATATTGCATGTTTTGTTATTGGAACGAATAAATAATCGATATGTAGTGAAATTGTAATACATGTTTGGCTTATTTCTTTATTATTCAGGGCTTGGACGAGTTTGGCACTAAACTTAGGAGTGATACAAATATCACGAAGAAAATGAACTTTTGTTGAAGACGTCGGTCGACATACTTTCACAAAAGACACAGATGCTTATTTTACATTTTTTGTGAAATATAAATAATCCAAGGGTGGAGGAGGTGACTGAGGACCTAGGTGTAAATTCAACATTATTGATTTAGTGTTTGTAAAAAATACAATTTGCAAAGTTTGAAGAAAATGGGAAAATAATTTCTTATTTTATAAAACAGAGGATTGTCTAAAATGTTAGCCCCCTACAGACACATAGTTGACAAGAAGGCAGCAATATAACGGACAGTGAAGTTGTATTCGATGAAAGTTGTACACTTCTATCTGCCTACGAAAACCCTGGGATGACAGAAGAGATTCGTAACAAGGCTAAGAAGTCCGACCTACTCCGGGGAACATTTTATGAGCAGGTAGATAGTGTGAACGATGCCTCTATAATAAATAAATTTCTATCAAAATCCCATTTCCAAACCGAGATAATGGTTGGTGAAACGGGCGATAGAATGGAAACTTCTTAAAAATATTAAGGCTTCCAATGGATGGTCATTTTCCTCTGGCGTATAGGGATAAATCGGAAGAGGAAGAAATTGTGGCAGAAGATGCCCCGATGGGTCAGAATACCATCAGGAGTTTTTCATAATTTAAGGCAACTGGACCATATGGGGCAATCCAGTAATATTTTTTTCCGGAAACATTAACGTTTGCCTTTAAGTTTTCCACACATTCAAGGCCTGGCAGGAAGCTAAAGTAGATTTTACGCACAAATCAAGCAGGACTATATGAGGAAAAAATAAAGCAAATTTACTTCGTAGAAGGACCGAATCGGTTCTGAAGATTGCCTATTACTGGTCAAAGATCAAAATCGGTCACCTAGCTGAATCGATCTTTCTTAAAAGACAATTAGTATACAAATCAAAGCCGAATACTTAGGAGTAATCTACATTAATATACAGGGTGAGATGAAAAAAACTGCAACCAACTTCAGACTGGTCTCATTTCTAAACAACTCGTCCGACAGCTGTTAAAAGTATTCCAGTGACAGCTCAATATATTGTTTACAAGAATTATTATATATTGTTTGGTGAGAATTTTCCAGAAAAAAAGTTATTCGTGATGGAATTCAAGCGTGATAGTGTGATTTCTTTATATTTGGCTGGAAAACCACAAGTGGTCTTTACCGTAATACTGGTAGCGTAGCCCGGCGTCAAGGAAGTGGACGAAAGAAAACAGCAACATCAGCAGAAATGGTTCTAAAAGTAGAGAAGCGACTTGATCGTGGTGGCCGAAAAATGGCTCGTGAGCAGAACAAATATTGAAAAATGAGCTCGGAGTAAAGCCACTGAAATTCCAACAAGTGCAAGAACTTACACCGCAGAAAAAGTAGACTCAAAAGAGCTAAAGAGTTGCTTCACTTGGCCAAAAGTGGTGAACTGCCGAATTTGGTTTTCTCGGTGAGAAACATTCGTTGTCCAGCAGTTTGTAAACAAACAAAATGATCGTGTTTACTTGCCAAAGAGGTCAGCTGAAAATGTGCACTTCGGTTGGCCACCAGAACTCAAGCGCCGGCCATGGTGATGGTGTGGGCCGCCATAACAGCCGATGGTCGCTCTCCGCTCGTATTAATCGACCCTGGCATCAGAATAAATACCAAATATTATAGCGAAAATATTCTGGAGGGTATATTAAAGCCTTGGGCACCCAAACATTTTGGCCACAGACCTTGGTCATTCCAACAGGACTCAACACCATTGCACTCAGCATGCGCCACCCAAGAATGGTTACAAAATGAGGTTCCTCGCTTCATTTTCCGCGCACATTGGCCACCAAAATCTCCGGATACCAATCCGTTGGTATCTGGAGTATTTTGGAAAGCAAGGTTGGCGTTAAAAAATATCAAAGTGTCGATCACCTCAAGCAAGCGCTTCGCCGGGAATGGGCCAAAATACCGCAGAGCAACATTCTGGCAGCGTGTGACGGTTTCATTGACCGTTTGAAGGCCATAATTCGTGCCAAAGATGACCAATTCGAACAAATCTAAACTTATTCTAAAATTTGATGCTATTTCCGATATTTTTGCTTTTATTCAATACAATCTAAAAAAAATGTAAAAATTATGGCGCTTGAACTTGCAGCAGGTTTTTTTATCTCAACCTGTAGGTCCACGATATCGTCTATCCCCCATATAACGGTACCTCCGATATTCGGTATTTTCATGATTTTAGTCACATTTTTCATTGAAATTGTCTGAAAATCCACACAATGAGTTCCTTCTGACTACATTACCCCCCGGAAGAAAATGGTCCACATAGGTCCACGATATCCTATATCCCCCAAATAATGGTACCCCCCGATATTCAGTATTTTGGTGATTTTAGCGACATTTTTATCGGAACTGCTTCAAATTTCGTATTTAAAGGTTAAAGCTCGTAATGAGTATTACAACCCATGACGGAAAATTGTCTATGCAGGTTCATGTCGTCGTAGAGCTCACATATAACTGGACCTCCCTTTATTCGGTGTTTTGATGATATTAGCAACATTATTCACCGGAAATGTTTCAAATTTCGTATTTGAAGTTCGGAATCGGTACTACAGCCTGTGACAAAAATTTACTAATGCAGGACCACGGCTTCGTATTGCCCCCATATAACAGTTTTTAGTGGTGTTTTTCGAAGGATTTTTTTTTTAATTTTTCAAGAATCTTCAAAATGGTGGAGGGCATTAAAAGTTCGGGCCGGCCGTGCTTAGCCGCTTTTTTACTTGTAGGAGTTGCTATTTTCTGAGTGTGAAACGGAATAATTTTTTGCCACAAAAATGAAGGCAAACAAATGCGAATATGCCATCAATTACATATTTACATATCGAAGGGAGTAATTAATTTCAAATTCAACTGAGATTTGGGGAGACAGACTGATGAGGTCAAGCCGCTAGTACCCCATGTACTTGAAAAGTAATAGTATAGTGAAATCGATAGAATATAAAACAGCCAACAATTTACGCTAAACGTTTGACAATGATTTGGAAGGTATTGTTAATTTTTACAACTGTTTACCTCCAAACCGAACCGATACCAGTCGAAGAAAACTTTGAGCAAATCCTAAAAATCCAAACACCCATCGCTGCAAGGGAAGTTTTTCAACCAAAGAAAGTGGCAAAACTAATCAATAATATTGCCTCGTATTGGAATATGACGTCACTGTTCTTAATTTACTCTTCGAAAATGTCTTACAATCATCTGGCTCAGGAGGTGTTGAGAGAGTTGTATAAGAATGAAGATTATTTCCATGAATTACCCCGAATGCGCCTCCGAGATGTAGATGTTGAAAAGCCTTTGTACGACATTGCCGATGTAGATCGAAATACCTTGGTTCTGACTCTGATGCACACTGCCTATGATGGGGTCGTGAAGGCAACCGCCAATGCAACACGTAATCGCCGTTCGTGTTTTACAATTTATCTACTGCATACCATAACCTATCCGGCGGGTCATCGATATCTGTTCGAGACTTTGTGGAGATATCAGTTGAGGCGGCCTTTGGTCATTGCCGGTGACAATTGTCTGCTGACCATCGATCCATATCCCACGTTGAGAATTATCAATGTTACTATGGCACCAATGGCGGAATGGTTTCCCATAGTGGAGGATATTAAGGATTTTCAAGGCTACACCGTGAACATGCCCATTCAAACGGATATACCATCCAGCTATTTTTACAAAGATGAAAAGAGTGGCAAGTTCGTGGCTGATGGATTGTCGGCTTGGATTATAAACGAGTTAATGGCTCGCCTCAATATCACCCTGAATGTATATCCTTTGAATGTCAACAATTCATATTTTCTGAATTCCCTGAAAATTGTCGAACTACTTCGAAAAGGTGAAATTGAGATAAGTCCCCACCTTCTGTCCATTGTGAAATATGAACCCGACATTGACTACAGCTATCCATTTATGGCTACATCTCGCTGCATCTTGATGCCACAGCCGCGAAAGCACACCATTGCCTTTTTACGCTTCATGAACTGGAAGTTGAGTGCCTCGTTACTCGTTTTCCTAATTTTCTACGAAATTGTTTGGACATTTTATCCGCTGTATTGCTCCAATATTCCGAAGCATATTTTTCACCTGCAACACTATCGTCCGCTCTACATAATATGTGTCCTTCTGGGTATTCCCATGCCAGCCCTGGCATTGCCCTCCTGGAAACGTTTAGGCATTTTGGCATTTGTTCGCATTCTACTTTTGTATTTTCTGATTGCATTCGCCGGCCACTATTCCTCACAGCTATTCTCCAGCAATTTGACCTCATTTCTAACCTCAAATCATTTCAAGAGTCCACCTCCCGAATTCCAGGAAATACTGGAGGACAGTAAACCCATAATGATGCGACCATTTGATGCCCAATCATTTACGGAATATTTCAAAATCGATGTCATCGCTTCGGAACATTTTGTCCTGGCCACGTACAAGGAGGTCTATCGTCATCGTTCTCAGTTCAATGCCTCCTATATGTATTTGGTGACCCAGCTGGAATATGAGGTTATGGACGAACAGCAACGTTATTTGCAATCGAAACGTTTCATTCTCTCCAACGTCTGTCATGGCCCCTATCCGTTGCAGTTTCAATTGGCTGCCGATAGTCAGTTTCTGGATTTGTTACATCTTTTCATCCTGCGGCTTCAAGAGAGTGGTATAAACAAATACGAAAGGCAATCGCTTGTTGAACGGGCCAAGAAACATGGCAAACTCGGCTATATTCGTGATGTGGACGCGGAAAAATCCTTGCAGCTGAATGTCACTTTGAATACCCTATCCGCCATTATATTTGTTCTGGCCGTTGGTTACACAACCAGCATAATTGTGTTTATTATGGAATTGCATTTCAAGCGAATCATATGCGCTTTTAAGAAGTAGTAATGTAGGAGCTGTCTGGATTTGACTTATTAGGCTTATTTGTAGTGGAGAAAGAGAAAAAGGGAAAAGAAAGATATACACATAATCTCTTAAATTCTGACTCAGTTGAATCCTTTGCAGTTATCAACAAAATACATTTGAAGTAAAAAAAATTATTTTCTTTTTAAATTTTGGCATTTTTGTTGGACATATTTGGTACATTTTAAAATCTGGGAGAACTGGTAGAGTTGGAACCCGGAAATTTGGATATACGATTTCTATTGGATTTTATGATGTAAGTAGTTAAGAAGATTTGTACTTTTGTGTACCAAAATGGTACTAAATTTTGTACAATTGGGATTTTAGCGAACTGGTAGAACTAGTATCCTGAAATTTAGAATTAGGGTCGCTGGACATATACTGAGATCTCTGTTGAGATCTCTGAAATTGTAATTGAGAGGTGGTTTTGGAAATGTGTACTAAATGGTTCTACAACTTTTTCATTTGGACTTTGATTAAATTTAACAAGTAAAAAAGCAGTTAAGCTTGGCCGGACCAAACTCTTTATACTCTCCACAATTTGAAAAATATTTCATGTTACAAGTAAAAAAACAATAAGTTCGGCCGGGCCGAACGTTGAATACCCTCCATCATTTGGAACGAATTAGGACATTTTCAAAAAAATCCATTAAAATTAAAAATTCTGTTAAAATCTTTAAAATACCTAATATCGGAAGGTGCCGATATATGGGGGGATATACGATATTATGGACCTATATAGACAAGTCTATGTCTAGGGGTAAAGTACTCACAAAGAACTCCTTGTTAGAATTTCAGACAATTCCGTTTAAAAGTGTGGCTAAAATCATTAAAATCCTGAATATCGCGCGGCTATAGGATATCGTGGACCTATAGATAATTGTCTTCCAAGGAATAAAGTACTCACAAGGAAGTTCTTGTGTGGATTTTCAGATAATTCCATTGGAAAATGTGGCTAAAATCATCAAAATCCCGAATATCTGGGGGTACCGTTATATGGGGGATATACGATATTGTGGACCTATATAGACAATTCTCTTTCAGAGCCTAAAGTACTCACAAAGAACTCCTTGTGTAGAATTTCAGACAATTCCGTTGAAAAATGCGGCTAAAATCATCAAAACACCGAATATTGGGGGGTACCGTTATATGGGGGCTATACGATAGGGTCTGCGACGACGTGGACCTGCATAGGCAACTATTGTCGTAAACCATTACAATACTCAAATGTGAAACTTGAATGAATAATGTAGCTAAACTCATAAAAATATCGAATATCGGGAGGTACCGTTATATGGGGGCTATACGAAGACGTGGACCTGTACTGTCTTAGATTGTAGTATCCATTACAAACTTCAAATATCAAATTTGAAACAATTCGGGTAAATAATGTCGCTAAAATCATTAAAATGCCGAATATCGGGTGGTAATGTTATATGGGGGATATACGAAGACGTGGACCTGCATGGACAATTTTCTGTCTTAGGTTGTAGTATCCATTACGAACTTCAAATACCAAATTTGAAACAATTCCGGTGAATAACGTCGTTAAAATCATCAAAATGCCGAATATCGGGAGGTACCGTTATATGGCGGCTATACGAAGACGTGGGCCTGCACTGAAAATCTCATGTCATAGGCTGTAACATTCATTACGAACATTAAATACCAAATTTCTAAGAATTCCGGTGAATAATGTCGATAAAATCAACAAAGTACCGAATATCGGGAGGTACCGTTATATGGGGGCTATACGAAGACGTGGACCTGTACAGACAATTTTCTGTCTTAGGTTGTAGTATCCATTACAAACTTCAAATATCAAATTTGAAACAATTCTGGTAAATAATGTAGCTAAAATCATTAAAATATCGAATATCGGGAGGTACCGTTATATGGGGGCTATACCAAAACGTGGACCAATACCAAAAGTCCTGCAGACATAACATACATCTGAGTAAAATTTTATCAATCTACTTCAATTCGTTCGGAAGCTAGAGTGATTTCACAGACGGACAGACATACGGTCATCGCTAAATCGACATAGAATTTTATGCTGATAAAGAATATATATACTTTGTGGGGTCTAAAATGTATATTTCGAACGGAATGACAAACTTAATATACCCTCCATATTATGTTGGAGGGTATAAAATTCTGCGTTTTTAGGTCTTGCGTCCTTGAAAAATATTCTAAAATTTATTCCTAAAGAATCCACGTTAAAAGGTCCATAGGTCCACGAAAAAAAAAATATTCTTAAAAATATTGGTCAGTTGGGTCAATAAAAACAGGATCCGAAATTCTTTGTGATTTTTTATTATTGAAGAAAAGTTACATTGGTGCCCAGGTGACTTATAAAATTTGGTTATACAAAATACAATACAAAATTATGCGAATACTCTTTTCATGCCTTCCAACCACTGTACGATTCGATCAAAATTCCATTCCACTACAAATGCAATAATGCTGCAGGTATAACCAATTGACAGCACAAAAATCATAGCCGACACTGTATTCAAAGCGATATTGAAATCGGTGGACTTTACCGAATCCTCTTCACGAATATAATCCACGTTGATGTGATTTTTAATTCTTTGAAAGAGAGTCTTCTTCTGATGCTCATAGAGGCCGCCTTCGCGCATGCGCAGAATAAAGAAATGGAACAAATCGCGAAAGTGACTGTCGGCACGCAATTGAAATTGCAGAGGATAAGGGCCATGGCAAACAGACGAAAGGCTAAAACGTTTTGGATACAAATAACGCTGCTGTTGATCGAATACCACAAATTCCTCCTTCGAAACCAAATACATGAACGATCTGTTGAGGTTCGACAGATGCTGATAGACATTTTCATAGGAGGTTGCAACCAATTGCTGCGAATCGATTAGTTTGATTTTGTAGAAGTTGCTAAATGACTCCACATCGAAAGGTATCATCATTATTGGTATGTTTTCAGCGAGGACATCCTTGAGACGGCTGGGAGGGCCTTTTAAATAATTCGCCGTGAGATATGATGTTAAATTACAGGAGAACAATTGGGAGATGTAAAGACCGCTGGATGTTATGACAAGATATAACATCAGCATGCGCACAAATTTCAAAGGGTGTATACGTTTTAAGGCGGGCAGTGGTAAAACTGGCACCGGAATGCTCAAAAGGATACATATGACATAGCAGGGACGATAACGTTGCCAACCCTGTTGGCGATTCGAACGATTCGGAAACACCAAGGGATACAGGTGCCATACCAGTTCATAGATCGCAATGATGATCACCAATACCAGACATAATTTCCAATTAATAAAATCCACAAAAATCAATACGGTCCTATGCGGCTGTGCCGTCATAATGCAGCGAGATGTACTCACAAACGGATAACTGTAGTCCTCGTCCGGATCGAAGTCCACAATTGACAATAGGTGGGGGCTTAATTCGATTTCTCCTTTACGCAAAAGTTCAGAGATTTCATAATAGTTCAAAGCAAAGGATTTGTTGACATTTAAAGGATATACATTGACGGAGACATTTAAGCGAGCCATCAACTCGGTTACAACCCCAGCCGCAAAACCATCTGCAACATATTTCTGAGTTGCTGCATCCAAATAGAAAACTGTCGAGGGAAAGTCATTTTGCACCGGCATATTTAGAGTGTAACCCTTGAAATCCGCAATGCCATCTACGATGGGAAACCATGAGGCCATGGGCTGAGAAGTTACATTTACAATTTGCAGTACAGGATATGGATCCATGGTAAGGAGATCTCTGCCATTCGCAATTAGCAAAGGTCTTCTTAGCTGATATTTCCACAATTGCTCGAATATATAGCGGTGATCGTCGTCATAGGTAAAGGTGTGGAGGAGATAAATTGTAAAACACGAACGATGACTACGGGTGGCCCTAGCTGTCGCCTTCAAAACCCGATCATAGGCACTGTGCATCAGGGTCAAAACCAAGGCATTAGCATCCACATCGGCAATTTCGTACAGAGACTTTTCAACATCCACATCCCTCATCGTCATCCGGGGCAAAAGCTCAAAGTAGCCATTCTTCTGGTTCAATTCGCCCAAAAGAGCTTGAGCCAAGCGGTTGTTTGTCAGCTTCCATTTATAAATTATAAACAATGACGACATATTCCAATATTCACCAATTCCGTTTATCAGCTTTGCCATCTCCCTGGGTTCGAATACTTCTTGGTCGGCGAGTAGTGTTTGAGATTGTAGAATTCTCTCCAAATTTTCACGGAGGGGTAATAGTTCAGCGAAGGGGTAGAATATTGCCAAAATTAAGAAAGTTTTCCAATTCATAGTTGAATGATTCACAGCTAGTTCTTCCTGTTGTCAAGACCTTTAAATTAACAATGATTTGCAAATTAAGTTAGACTAAGTTACAGACCACCTTATCCAACTGGCTTTGTAAGTCTCTGATGAATTCGTTTAATTACATCTGTCGAATAACAAACAAGTAATTGATGGTAGCAATTCCATAATTATGATTTTTTTATATTTGAAAGTTACAGGATGATGTATTAGGTTGTGATATGGTGGGATTTTTAGGAAGTCTTCTTAAATATGTACAAAATGTAGTTGGGGAATATCAAATGACGTTCAATTTTGGAAATCCTAATGTTTGCATAAGTGAAAGGTCAGGTGTGAGAATAGACAATATCGGTCCACAACTTCTACTAACTGCAGCCAAAAAAGGTCAAAATTTTGAATTATCACAACTGTTATAAAATGAGAGATAAGAGCCCGATTGTCCTCAAGTTTCGTACATTTCAATAATTTTATACCTTCCACCATACTATGGAGGGTGTACAGGAAAAGATAAAAAAACTGCAACAAAGTCAAACGCCACAAGTTTTACATTTTGTTTTAAATTTCGGAAATAGCATCAAATTTTAGAAAAAGTTTAGATTTGTTCGAATTGGTTACCTTTGTCACGAATTATGGCTTTCAAACGGCCAATGAAATCGTCACACGCTACCGAATGTTGCTCTGTGGTATTTTGGCCCATTCCCGGCGAAGCGCTTGCTTGAGGTGATGGACACTTTGGTATTTTTTAGTGCCAACCTTGCTTTCAAAAATACTCCAGACACAATAGTCCAACGGATTGGTATCCGGAGATTTTGGTGGCCATTGTACGCTGGAAATGAACCGAGGAACCTCATTCTGTAACCATTATTGGGTTCGCGTGCTGAGCGCGACGGTGCTGAGTTCTGTCGCAAGCTCCAAGGTCTGCGTCCAAAATATTTGTGTGCCCAAGACTTTAATACAACCTCCAGAATATTCTCATTTATTCTGATGCCACGGTTGATTAATACGAGCGGAGAGCGACCATCGGCAATTATGGCGGCGCTTGAGTTCTGGTGGCCAACCGAAGGTGCACATTTTCAGCTGACCTCTTTGGCACGATCATTATACACGATCATTTTGTTTGTTTATAATCGACTGGACAACGAATTCGGCAGTTCACCACTTTCGGCTAAGCGAAGCAACTCTTTAGCTCTTTTCTTTCTGTTGCGGTGTAAGTTCTTGGACTTTTTTTAATTTCAATGGCTTTACCCCGAGCTCATTTTTCAACATTTTCCGATATGTTCAGATCACAAGCCATTTTTCGGCCACTGCGAAGCGGGTTTCGATCTGCTGATGTTGTTTTTTCCGTCCACTTCCAGTTTTCTACCGTTCACGTCGGACTACGCTACCAGTATCACGGTAACAAGCGATGGTACGAGACATAAAAGATTTATTCACATTTAAATGCTGGAGTGCTCAAACGATAGCCACTAGTGTTTTTTTTTTCGGAAAATTCTCATTAAAATGCTTTTGAATTTGGAATAGTTTTATTAGCTGTCGAACGAGTGGCTTAGAAATAACAGCAGTCTGAAGTTGGTTTTTTTTTTCATCATCATTTCATGGTGAACAATAACAGTGGAATCGGAAGAAAATATATATGGAAGCTATATTCAAATCTTAACTGATCTCGATAAAATTTGGCAGAGGCATTCCTAAGCTATATTGGAAATCCGGTACCAAATATCATTCTTGCGGAGTGCATATTGCAAATGTGAGGGACTTAAAAACCAAATTGGATGAAACATATATATATTTGAGCTATTTTCAACCAAATTTTAAGTACTTGTTTCTAGACTGAATTCGGTCGGATGTGCCGAAATACATCCTATTTGCATGAATATTACACAGTATACAAAATATATATGGAAGCTATATCTAAATTTGGACCGATTATTACCATTTTCAATAGGGTTAGTCCTTGGGCCAAACAAACGATGTATGGAAAATTTCATCTCAATCGGCCAATAAAATACGACCTTCAATTTGTTCACAAAAATACATGGATAGACAGACGGACGGGCATCCATATATCGACTCAGATCGGGTGACTCTATGAGGATCACCCAAAATTGCCTTGTGTCAATCTCGTTTTCTTCTCTATGTTACAAAAAATACACAAAGACATAATGCCCTGACTACAATGTGGTGTAGGGTATCAAAATAAAAATCAAAAATTTATCATTATCAGTTTGTAAAAAATATATCAATGGCCTAACGAATTTCTGATAGTGGATTTTTTAAAAATATTTCTTCATTGACGAGGATTTTTTAAAATTTTTTTCACATGGATTTCTAAGAATATTTGGACCAATAGACCATTAAAAGTGGGTTTTTAAATAATATTTTTTATAGGCGCACATACCATTATACTAAAATATGTTTAAGAGAGGACCCATAGACAATTTAATATGGCTTTTTAAGCATATTTTTCATTGGCCAAAAGACCATTGAAAGTGGATTTTTATGAAATTTTTATGGGCCACCAATTGTGGACTTGAAATAAAACTAATATTATTTTTTGAGTTCAATAAAGTATACATTTATTACAGATAAAACAATAACCAATTTTTATTATTAAATACATTCAGAAAAAAAACTATTGAACTTCCAAATTTAAACATATAATGCGAGTGCTGTCCAATAAAAAATAATTATCAATTTCGTATAAATTTCAAAACTGTTTTCCCCTTAAAAACCCTCATTAAACCTTCTCCATACAACTCAAACACAAATACAATGATGCTGCTGGTATATCCCACAATTCCCACATAAAACATTGCCGTCAATGTTGTAAAAGCAATTTCCGGTCTCTGAGGATTCGATTCTCGTATATAATCGAGTTGGCCACGACTTTTGATGCGATAAAACAATTGTCCCTTCTGATATTCGTAAAGACCTCCCTCGTTCACCCTCAGTGTGAATAAATGAAACACATCGAGCAGATGGCTGTCGGCACGAAATTGAAATTGCATTGGATAGGGACCATGACAAATTTTCGATAATCGAAAAAGTTTTGGATTTAAATAACGTTGTTGTTCATCGATCAGCTGATATTTTTCGGTCGAAAGCAGATGCATATATGAAGTATTTAATTGGTTACGATACTTAAGCACATCTTCGTAGGAGAGGTTGATGAAATTTTTCAAATCAACCTTTTCCACATTGTGATATCTTGCAAAGGAGCGGGCATCAAAGGACCTCATTATGATCGGCACATTTGCAGAGAATATATCACTCAAATGACTGGCACTGCCCTTGATATAATTGGCGGTAAGAAATGATGTCAAATTAGTTGAAAATATCTGGGAAATATAATTGCTATTGAAAGCTATCACAAAGGAGACAATGAAAAGACGCAAATATGTCATTGGACGTAACTGCCCTACCGCCGGCAATGATTTGGAATTTGGTATTGGTGTACCCAGAAACAGCCAGAGCATGTAGAATGGTGGTAGGTGCATCCAGTTATAATTACTTTTTACCACAGCACAATAAAGCGGGTAGAGCTTCCATAGAATTTCGTAAATGACTATAAAAGCAGTTACAAATACCACCAGCTTCCAATCGATTAAACTCACAAAGTTAAGGATGAACTTCTTCGGACGAGGTCGCATAATACAGCGTGAATCAGTTTTGAAGGGATAACTAAAATCTAAATCTTCTTCAAGACCAATGGTCAGCATTAGATGGGGACTTAGTTCAATGTCGCCCCCGCGCAACTTGTCAAAGATTCCACGATAATTGAAGGCATAACAATTGTTGATCTTCAAAGGATTCGCCACCAGGGTAATATTCAGGCGTGTCATTAACTCGTCGATAAACCAAACAGCCAAACCATCTGCTTTATATTTCTGCGTTTTCTCATCCCAATAAAAGTATGTGCCAGGTATCTCGTTTTGGACGGGCATGTTCAAGGTATAACCCATAAAATCATTGATACCATCGACTGTGGGAAACCATTTCAACATGGGTTCCCTGGTAACATTTACAATTTTCAATAGCGGATATGGATCCATGTTCAGTAGATCTTTGCCATTGGCAATGACCAAAGGACGTCTTAGCTGATATTTCCACAACTTCTCAAACAAAAAGCGATGATCTTCGGGATAGCTGAAGCTGTGTATCAGATAAATTGTGAAGCAAACTTTTCGTTTGCGCAGTGCTTTTGCTGTGGCCTCCAAGACTGGATCATAGGCACTATTCATTAAAGTTAAGATCAGGGCATTCCGGTTTACGTCGATGATTTTATACAAAGGAATCTCAACATCCTCTCCTCGTAACACCATTCGAGGTAATTTTTCCAAATAGTTATCTTTTGTTTGTAAATCATTCAAAACTTCGAGCAGTAAATTATTCTGTGGCATCTTCGAATTATAAATTATGTACATCGAAGTCATATTCCAAAATTCCGCAATGGAATTTATTAATTCTGCCACTTTTCGTGGATCAAATGTTGTCCTCCTCGTCGTTTGAGTTTCATATTGCAGAATTTCATCAAATTTCTCCACAGCTATGGTTGGCATGGGTATGGAGTAAAAGAATACCAACAAAAATAACGATATTCCCAAATACATTTTTAACCGTTACAACAAAGTAAAGTCTGATATACTTGCAAACCTTTTGGTTCTGAATATTTTTTGAGCAATTGATTTGAGCAAGGATTGAATTGTATGCCCCTGACAATTAATTTTTAAAGCAATTTAAATTTAAATAAACACCTAATTGATGGTGTTGTCCATAGCTATATTCCAATGTTAAATCACCACAAATTATGGTAAAGAATGTGTGTATCTTGTTTATTCTGAGGATCTACACTAGCGCGCAGAGTTCGTTAATGTCGACAATCAGTTGGCAACAACAATTTCGTTTACTATTGAATGAGAATTCAACAACGTTGACAGTTATCGCAATGTTAATATTTAGCCTTTGATATGTTTCAAGTCGTAAAATTTTTATCAAAATTAGAACGACTTCAAAGACAAGCGATATTGTTCCAATATTTCGATACCTCGCTCTTCCAAAATGGGGTCCCACAAAAATGAAACATTTTCCGCAAGTGTTTACTGAGAGCTTTTATTTGAGCCCTGTCACTACTGGTGTCATTATACCCCACGTCACTCTGTAGTACAGAAGAGACCCATATGGACCCATAGTTCCTTTTGATGATCTGCATAGAATCACGTTCTGAGTGGATTTATTTAAACAAAATACAGTTCTCATTTATTGTCTGATTAAGATGAAATTTTCCACAAATCTCTTGTTTAGACCAAGGATGAACCCTGTTGAAATTGGAGAAAATAAATCAGTTTTGATATGGCTTTCATACATAAGGTCGTCCGATTTTATACGTATTTTGCACCAAATGTGTTATATCATTCCAAATCAAATAAATTTCAACACATTCGGGCAGGTTTAGTCTAGAACTATGTCTGCCAATTTTGATTTCGGCTATGATTTAAATATAGCTTCGGCACATCCTAGCAAATTCAGCCCAGAAGTAAGTACATCAAATTTAGTGAAAATTGGTTTAGATATGGCTATAGCTTCCATGTTTGTGTTTCATCCCATTTGAGGTTTTAAGTCCCTCATATTCGTAAAATGCGCTCCACAACAATGATATTTGAAACTAGATAATTTATATACTTCAAAAATTCCTCAGGCAAATTTCGTTGAGATCTTCATACGATTTGATGTTTATTGTGGACCAAATATATTTCATACGATTTGTTGATTAAGTCCCTCACATTCGTAATTTACTCTGCATACCAGTGATATATGGTACCAGATCTCGGATACAGCACAAAAGTACCTCTACCAAATTTTACCGATATCGGTTCAGGGCATATCTTCAGACGATTTTACGGTTATTTGGCGCCAAATATGTAATATTAGCCCAAAGTTGATGGATTTTTGGTTATTCAACTGTGCGAGTAGTTATCCTGGAAAAATACGAGATTTGTTGAAGCTTGGTTCCCTGATATATATTCCTTAATATAATCCCCCTCAAAGTCATAATTGTTACGATCCGCATTAATTTCCAATATAAAATTTTATTTCTAACAGGTAGCTCTACCAAATATGCATAGTTATGTAGGGTATGATAAAATCTGTGCGTCCGATTTTTGACTTTTTCTTTACTGGTTTTTAGTTTCTATACAGGCTAACGGCTGAAATTCACTAAAGGTCGACCTACATTTTTTCTGATAATTCGAAAAATTCTAAATCCGAAATTCGTATTGCCTATAAGACCATTTATTCTAAAAATTTTATTATTATAATAGTACTTCCCAATATGCGCTACATTGAGATTCAAACATTTTCTAACAACAGCATTTGGATTCCATAAAGGATTTTTCTGTATACATATAGGACAATTTCTATATGAGTCCACGTTTTTCTATAGCACCAATCCTCCCGATATTCGGTAGTTTTAATGATTTTAGCCTACGCTTTTTATAGAATTGTTTAAAATTTGGATTGAATGTTCCTAATAATAGAAGTGACACACATACTCGACTACAGGAATTTCTGCTGTTTTTTTTTTATTTGTTTTGATCAATTTTTCAATTTTGTTTTGATCAAAGACGGAGATCTGCATATGTAATTTTCGTCATAGACTATTACAATATTCAAATACGAAACTTGAAACCATTCCGATGAATAACGTCGCTACAATCATGAAAATACCGACTGTGGGGAGGCATTGTTATATGGGGGACCTGCTTTGGCAATTTTCTGCCACAGACTGTAGTACACGTTACGAACTGTAAATACGGTATTTGAAACATTTGGGTAAAAACATCAAAATATCAAATATGGAGAGGTACCGTTATGTGGGGCTATATACTTAAACGTGGACCTATATAGCCCATTTTCAACACCAAAAGTTCTGCAGACCTAAGACACATCTGAGTAAAATTTTATCAACCTACTTTTTTACGTTCGGAACCTAGTGTGATTTCCATTTCTTTGGTCTGCAAGACTTTTGGTATTGATCCACGGTTCACGACTATGGGTGAAAATTGTCTTTGCAGGGCCATGTCTTCGTATAGCCCCCATATATCGGTACTCTCTAAAATTCGGTATTTTGACGATTTAGGAACAATGTTCACCGGAATTGCTTTAAATCCAGGTCCAGGTCTTCAATACAGCAACCCCCTATAATCGGTATTTAGATGATTTCAGCGACATTATTCACCGGAATTGTTTCAAATTTCGTATTTTCAGTTCGTAACGAGTACTACAGCCTGTGACAGAAAATTGCCTACGCAGGTCCACGACTTCGTATAGACTCCAAAATAACTGTAACTCTCTGTATTCGGTATTTTTAAGATCTTTACGCTCGTTACCCTGATACTGGTAGCGTAGCCCGAAGTCAAGAAAGTGGACGGAAGAAAACAGCAACATCAGCAGAAATGGTACGAAAAGTAAAGAAGCGACTTCATCGAAACCCGAGTCGCAGTGGACGAAAAATGAGAAAACATTCGTTGTCCAGAAATTTTTAAACAAACAAATGATTGTGTTTACTTACCAAAGAGGTCAGTTGAAAATGTGCACCTTTGGTTGGCCACCAGAATTCAAGCGGCGGTCATGCTGATGGTGTGGGCCGCCATGACAGCCGATGTTCGCTCTCCGCTCGTATTAATCGACGTGGCATCAGAATAAATACCGAATATTATCACGAAAATATTCTGGAGGGTTTATTAAAGCCTTGGGTAAGCAAACATCTTGGCCGCTGACCTTGGACATTGCAACAGGACTCAGCTCTATCGCATTCAGAACGCGCCACCCAAGAATGGTTACAAAATGAGGTTCCTCGCTTCATTTCCAGCGCACAATGGCACCAAAATCTCCGGATACCAATCCGTTGGACTATTGTGTCTGGAGTATTTTGTAAAGCAAAGTTGGCACTAAAAAAAACCCAAGTGCCGCTCACCTCAAGCAAACGCTTCGCCGGGAATGAGCCAAAATACCACAAAGCAACATTCGGTGAGCGTGAGACGGGTGACCAATTCGGACTAATCTAAACTTATTCTAAAATTGTATGCCATTTCCGACGTTTTTTGCTTTTATCGACAAATTTAATATACTCTCCATACTATGGTGGAGGGTATAAAAATTCTACATTAATTTAACGATCTTCGTCCGACTGTCTCTCTATGGAAATCCGAACGAAATGAAGTGGGTTGATAAAATTTTACTCAGATGTGTCTTAAGTCTGCAGGACTTTTTGGAGTTAAAGTTTTTCTACACCCTGCATACGTATTACATACGGGTCACGATTATTTTCCGATCTTCACGAAATTTTGCATAGGGGTAGGGTTAGGGCCAAAACCTAAGCCTATTATATTGTTTCGAAGATGTACGTTTAGGTGTTCAAATGTATCAAAAAAAAAAATCCTGATTTTGCAGTCGCCCTATAGGTCATAATTGAAAACCAAACGACACGGAATTTTGTATGTGGAGAGAGTTAAGAGCAGGGCAGAAGTTTAAAACTGTGGTAGACCATGGGATTATATTTAGCACAACTTTCGTGTGAAATTGTCTTGAATACCTAACAACACGACGGAGTGCGTAAATATTGGACAAATACCCGCGATCAAAAAGCTAAGGTAACATGTGGGCAAGGCTCTATGGCAACAAAGTCTTCCAAAATGGATTTGAACAAAAGGGAACTTCCAATATATTTTAGTGTTGTAGGGTATCACATGGTCGACCCCGCACGACTATAGCCCGTTTACTTGCTTTTGAATGTACGTAGGTATGTATTTTGGAAAGAATATAAATGGAACGATGAAATTAAAATATATTCCATCCTCTGTCGTTGGATGGGTTTCATTAATACCCTAATTAAATAAAATTTAAAAAAATACGTAGAACAATTAAAAAAATAATTTAAACGAAATCATCAATTACATGTTTATTCTTTTAATTGTTGCCTTTGAATTAATAACCAAGGGATTCCTGCAATTATTCCACGCTGGTAAATTTTTACGAAAAAATATATTAAACTACTATTTTTGAGTGGAACGACAAGACACTAAGTTTCTTAAACGGTTAAAAATGTATTGGAAATTCGTGATAATTTTGCTAGCAATTTTGTCCACCTCTCCCCCACTATCAGCCATCACTGGGGACAAACTGGATAAAATACTACATTATGAGAATAAAATGTTCATCAAGGATGCATTTGAACCAAGAGAAATGGTCAAGTTCATAAATACCATTGCAGAATTTTGGAATATGACATCTGTCTATATAATTTACAATTCGAGGATATCACAACAAAATTTTATGTCGGAAGTTTTGGATGAATTGCACTCGAAGAACACTTATCTAAATCGATTGCCACAAATGACGGTGGGAAGTAAAGATGTTGAAAAACCCTTATATGATATTGTCAATATAAGTCGGAATGCCTTGGTCTTAACACTAATGCATAGTGTTTACGATCCCGTTTTGGAGGCCACAGCCAAGGCGCTGCGTAAACGAAAATTGTGTTTTACAATTTATCTACTCCACACATTTACCTATGACGAAGATCATAGATATTTGTTCGACAAGTTGTGGAAATATCAGCTAAGGCGGCCCTTAGTCATTGCCAATGGCCGAGATCTGCTGACCATGGATCCATATCCAATATTGAAGATTGTAAATGTTACCAAGGACCTTATGTGGAAATGGTTTCCCATTGTGGATGGTATCAAGGACTTCAAGGGTTATACCGTGAATATGCCCGTACAAACCGATTTACCGGCCACTTACTTTTACCTGGACAAGCAAACGCAAAAATACAAAGCCGATGGCCTGATAGCCTGGTATATCCGTGAATTAATGACCCGCTTGAATGTCACCCTGGAGGTGTATCCTTTGAACAACAACGAAACATATTTTTTGGATTTTCGTAAAATTTTTTCATTACACCGCAATGGAGACATCGAAATAAATCCCAATGTAATGACCGTCCATGCCCATGTGGAAAATATCGACTTCAGCTATCCCTATATTGCCACATCGCGCTGTATTATGGTGCCACGTCGAAAGAAAATCACCATTGACTTTTTGAGTTTCATTGACTGGAAACTGTGTGTATTTTTGGCCGTTGTTGTGACGTTTTATCAAATTCTGTGGAAGCTCTATCCTCGATATCAGAGTGTCGTGAAACGTGACTACAATTGGCTGAAAGTTCCTCCATACTATATACTATGGCTGATGTTGGGCATACCAGTGCCACATTTGAATTCTTTGCCCACTTTGGGACGTTTGCGCACCTTTGCATTTCTACGCTTCCTCGTCGTCTTTTTTATGATTGCCTTCAATGGCAATTATATTTCCCAGATATTTTCAACAAATTTAACATCATTTCTTACCGCCAACTATCTCAAGGGGACTTCGAGTCAGTTGAAGGATATAATCGCGGCCAATATACCCATCGTATTGGGTAAAGTTGATGCCCAGCCCTTTCTCAGCTATAACCACGTAGGCAAAAAGTCATTGGAAAAGTTCATCTACATTCCATACGCCGATGTTCAGAGGTATCGTAATCGACTTAATTCCTCCCTTAGCTATTTAATTGCAAGAGAAGAATATCCAATAATTGATGAACAACAGCGCTATTTGGATTCGAAACGTTTTATACTCTCCCATGTTTGTCATGGCCCCTATCCTCGTCAATTTCCATTGCGAGCGGATAGTCACTTTCTTGAGTTGTTCCACTTTTTCATCCTTCGTATACACGAAGCTGGTCTATACCAGCATCAAAAGCGTAATCTCTTTCAAAGGATCAAAAATCATGGCCAACTTGATTATATTCGAGAATCGGATGAGGAAAAATGTAAAATCACATTTACCACATTGACTGCAATGTTTTATGTCCTGTCGGTGGGTTACGCCAGCAGCATAACAGCATTTATTTTTGAATTGTATGGCAAAAGGATAATGCGATATTTTAGGGAGTCGAAAATTTGGAAGCTTAGATGGAGTTTGGGAATATGTAACCGCCGCGAGAATGTATTCATTTCTCAAAACGGAAAATCATAAATTCTAAATACCAATTAAGTTTCTTTTATTAAATGTCTACTTTGTGAAGCACTAAAAAATAGATCCAAATTGTTTTATTTATTTTAGTGTCCGGACAAATCCCCATTGCAATTGTGGGAATTATATCTGATTTTTTCTTTGAGGTCATAACCCCCTTAGTAAAGTGTAGATTATTTCCATTTTGAAATCGGATGGGGAATATCCTCATTGTTATGGGGATTATGTCCGCTGCTTTCTAGGGATTATGACCGATTTTTGAACGTAATTTCCATTCCATTATGGGAGTTATGACCGAAAAACGAACATAATCCCCATAATTCTAATGGGAATTCAAGCATGATAGTGTGATTTCCTTATATTTGACTGGACTTATTTGACGAACTTTGAATGCCCTCCACCATTTAGAACAAATTTGGAAATTTTCAAAAAGGTAACATTCTCCAAAAATTCTGTTAACATCTTAAAAAACCGAATATAGCTGCTATATTAGGATCTGTTCAACGTGCTCCTACATAGGCATTGTTTGTCACAAGCCATTACCATATTAAAATTCGAAACTTGAAATAAACGATGAATAATGTAGCTAAAATCATCAAAATACCATATAAAGGGTGGGGCCGTTATACCGAAGCTATACGAAGACCTGGACCTGCATAGACAATTTTCAGTCACAGGCTGTAGCTTCCATTACCAACTTCAAATACGAAATCTCATACAATTTCGGTGAGTATTGTACCTAAAATCGTCAAAATACCGAATATATGGAGGTACTGATATATGGGGCCTATACGAAGACCTGAACCTTCAAAAACAATTTTCTGTCAAAGACTGTATTTTCACTACGAACTCTAAATACGTAATTTGGAACTACTACGATGAATAATGACGCTAAAATCATTAAAATGCCGAAAATTGGAAGGTACAGTTATATGAACCTGCACAGACAATTTTCTATGTCAGGCTGTAGTATCCATTTCGAACTTCAAATGCCAAATTTGAAATAATTCCGGTGAATAATGTCGCTAAAATCACCAAAATACTGAATATCTGGAGGTACAGTTATATGGGGGCTATACGAAAACGTGGTCCTACATGGCCCATTTACGAACTTAACCTGCCTACTGTCAAAATAAACATGTGTGCAAAATTTTAGCCTTCTATCTCAATTCGTTCGAAAGATAGCAAGATTGCAACAGACAGAAAGACACATATACAGACTATGCGGCTCCGGTGTGGTCCGCCAACGTGGAAAAATGTTCAGTCCTGCCAGAATGCCGCCCTTAGCACCGCAACTGGGTGCCTTCTCATGACATCTGTCGATCACCTACATGAGGAGGCGAAGGTCTTACCGGTGCGACTACATAACAAAATGCTGTCAATGCAATACCTGCTTGGGTGTTATAGACAATGCCATCCAAATCACCATCTTGTGGATAGGCAACCTCCGCCCAGGCACGTTAGGAAAGACCTGCATGATCTAGAGAGAGAGGTACAGAGGCATAAGAGAGAGCCTCTAGATCAATAGGCCTATCAAGCGGGACTGAATAGTATTCAGTCTAATGCGGTCTCAGAAGCCATTGAAGGATATAGAGTGAATACTGTGCTAGGAGACCATCCCCCTCCCGTCGCAGCTGAAGAACGAGAGCTGCCCCGACAAACCCGAGTAGTTTTGGCTCAATTACGATCCGGATGGTGCAGCCGCCTAAATTCCTACTGGGCCCGGATTAACGGCGACGTGCAGAACATCTGCCCAGCATGTGGCACAGGCCCACATGACACGCTGCACCTATTTCGCTGCCCAGCCAAGCCTACTCACCTAACTCCAGTCTCGTTATGGACACAACCCATACAGGTTGCATCCTTTTTGAGACTGGACTTAGAGGCAGAACCTGATTGAACTGAGTCAGAAAATGGAAACCGAACGAACACAGATGTATGAGCTGCTACAACAACAACAACATACAGACGGACGGGCATGGGTCTGACGTGAGTATTTCGAGGAGATACAAACGGAATGACAAAATTAATATACCCTCCATAGTATGGTGGAGGGTATAAAAAGTACAAGAACTTACACCGCAACAGAAAGAAAATATACTCAAAAGATCTAAAGAGTTGCTTCGATTAGCCGTAAGTGGTAAACTGCCGAATGAGGTTTCCTCCGATTAGAAAACATTCATCCAGCATTTTAAAAACAAACAAAATGATCGTGTTTACTTTCCAAGAAGGTCAGCTGAAAATGTGCACCTTCGGTTGGCCACCACAACTCAAGCGCCGGCCATGGTGATGGTGTGGGCCGCCATTTTTCGCTTGTATTAGTCGACCGTTGTATCAGAATAAATGTCGAATATTATCGCGAAAATATTCTGGAGGGTGTATCAAAGCCTTGGGCACGAAAACATTTTGGCCGCAGACCTTGGACATTCCAACAGAACTCAGCACCATCGAATATAATGTGTGGGAAGTTATTTTTATTAAGCTTAAGTCAGGTGCGAAATGAATGATATTGGTGTTCTTGAATTCCGGATATCTTGAAAATCACAAAACACAAGCCAAAATATATTTTTATAAACAGGCTTAGGCTAAGGGTACTCATTTTTTAATATTAATTATTTTTATTATTTTTTGATAAATTAACGTATTTTCAATTCTCCTAAATTAATTTAACAGGAAAATGACACAATTTTCCGACGAGGACGAATAATCAGCGTGGGATTGGCGGTAGGGGCACTGCATGGAAAATGCTAAATTACAGAAAAACCATAATAGATGCGTCATTGGGGCATGGCTCAAATGAAAGGTCTCGAGGAGAACTTTCTAAGTATATATGCCTTATATTCCTAAATTATTTCAGATTATCGAATTTTTCCGACTTTCTAACCAAAGTGGGTTTGGCAGTAGGGAAACTGCATGGAAAATTTGATTGGAAAATACGAAGAAGCTGTAAACCAATATTTTCAATGTCCACTGCTAGCCAAAGACTGATAAAAATTTTGCCATAGGCCAAGTTAGAGAACTCGATTTTTTTTATATGCGATGTATGCAGAATTTTTTTCGAAGATTTTGAGCCTTTGTATTTCCTCGAAATAGGGGACCGATATATTCGATTTTCGAACTTGGAGACGGTAAAGGAATGAGTGGGCCAATATTTTCCATTTCCAATTCTGAACAATGTCTTAGCTACATTTTATGATGGGGCTACATCGTGTACTCCCTTCGCCTTCCCTTCTACGACATGTAAAAATATTAATAAAAATCCACGATATATGATTTATAAGCTTTATTTGGACATTTAGATTGACATATACTGTGTTTTAATATTAAGCTTTACTAAATTTCTACCAAATGGTCAATCGAACAAAGATTTAATTTCTCCTTCCCTTCAGAATCCCCTTTCTTTCGAAAAGGCGCATTATTTTTTGACCATATAATTCCAATATAAATACAAAGATACTGCTGGTATAGCCCACCAAAAGAACATACACCATTGCCGATAATGTTGTAAAAGTGATTTTTGACTTTTCCAAATCCGACTCATATACATAATCCAGTTTAGCATATCTCTTGGCCCTTTCAAACAGATAACGCTTCTGGTATTCATATAGACCCGCCTCGTGCACACGCAAAATAAATAAATGAAACAAATCCAAAAAATGGCTATCCGCTTGAAATTGAAACTGCAATGGATAGGGACCGTGACAAATATTGGAAAATCTAAAACGTTTGGGCGACAAATATCTCTGCTGCTCATCGATAACGTCATACTCTTCACTGGTAAGAAAATACATAAACTTGGCATTAAGTTTAGAACGGTGTTTGTGGAGATCTTCTTTGGTGGAATTGACAAAATACCTCAAATCAACATTGGCTATTTTGTGAAATCGCACAAATGAGTCGGTATCAAAATATCTCATTATGATGGGTACCTTGGCCGAAAGGACATCCCTTAATTTGATGGAAGTCTCCTTGACATAATTTTCCGTTAGCAAGGAGGTTAAATTGCTTGAAAATATTTGCGAGACATAATTGCCACTGAAGGCAATGAGGAAATAGACAATTAAAAGCCGAAGAAACACAGAGAAGCGTAAACGGCCCAACGAGGGGTGGAATTTGATAAGAGGCACTGGAATACCCAAGATAATCCATGGAATATAAAATGAGCGTTGTTGGCGCCACTCATAAACGCCACCCACCCGCGAGCGATATAGGGGATATAGCTTAAACAAAATTTCATATACCATAAGAAAGATTGCCAAGACCAGACACAGTTTCCAGTCCAAGAAAGGCAGAAACACAATGGTATTCTTCCTCGATTGTGGTATCATGATACAGCGTGAGGTGGAGATGTATGGATAGCTGAAATCAAAACCATCTTCTCGGAATATACTCAACATCAGTTGGGGACTCAATTCAATGTTGCCCTTACGAAGTAACTCAAATATTTTCCAATAATCAAAAATATACGAATTGTTGACTGTCAAAGTATGCACCTTCAGTGTAACATTGAGGCGAGCCATCAGCTCTTTTACCATCCAGGCAGCCAAGCCATCAGCTTGGTACTTTTGTGTTTTCTCATCCTTATAAAAGTACGTGGCCGGAAAGTCATTTTGCACAGGCATATTTAGGGTATAACCTTTGAAATCCCTTATACCATCGGCAAGGGGAAACCATTTTGACATAGGTTCCAAAGTAACATTCACCACTTTCAATACAGGATACGGATCCATGGTTAGTAGATCTTTGCCATTGGCAATGACCAAGGGACGTCTTAGCTGATATTTCCATAACTTTTTAAATAAATATCGATGATCTTCGGCATAGTTAAAGGTGTGTAGGAGATACATTGTAAAACACATTCTTCGTTTACGCAGTGCCCTTGCCGTGGCCTCTAAAACAGAATCGTAAACACTGTGCATCAGACTCAAGACCAGAGCGTTAGGACCTATATCGGCAATATTATACAGAGGTTTTCCGATATTCTCACTTTGTAGCGTCATTCGAGGTATATTCGCCAAATATGAATTTCTTGCATTTAAATCATTTAAGACTTCCAACAACAGGTTACTTTGTGACATCCTGGAGTTGTAAATAATATACACCGAAGTCATATTCCAATATTCAACAATGCTGCCGATCAACATCCCCAATTCCATAGGTTGAAATTTATACTTTTCTGGATTATGAGATTTATAATCGAGGATTTTTTGAAGATTATAAACGCGGATGGCAGTTATGGCTATAGAGAATGAGAACACCAAAAATATTGTTAAAATTCTAAAATGCATTTTTGATTACTTCGGAAAAATTCGTTAATGTTCTGACAGCTTTTCCAGTAAAACTAAATTTTACTGATTGCATCTAAACCGAGGACGTGTGTTCTTTTAATCCTTTGGCAATAAATTAGTAGCGATTTTGAATGGGTAAACATCTAATTGATGGTTGTATTTGTATTCTTATTTGAATTAGGAAAATGGAAGGGCGTATTTTAAATTTCTGCTTTATTTGCCTGAAGTATCAAATAAACCTCAGGGATGTGCAAACATTATTATTTCTGCGCGGCCAACTAGCAAAAAAAATACTTTTTCACTTAGAATATAAAAAAGCGACCCCAAACTTCGTACGTCCCGACTTCAGATTATGGCAGTTAAAAATCAAATCTGAAGCCGGTCATTATGCTGCACAAAGTCTAAATATTCCATATATATTTGGCAGAGGCAGGCTGCCAGGCAGCCCAACATTTTAGGATTATTTTCAACTTTGGCAATTAGTTCATCAAATTGGCCGCATCCAAAAATCTTTTCCAGATAGAAGACGTCCTTGTGATTTGCTAGAGAGTTTTGAGACCCGGGCAGCATGGTTGTCCCATAGTTTTAGTGCTTAAAGCATATTTTTCAGAATATACACAATTGCAGGGTGAGATGAAAAAACTGCAGCCAACTTCAGACTGCTATCATTTTCAAGCCACTCGTCCGGCACCTGTTAAAATTACTCCAGTGACAGCTCGCTATATTGTTTACAAACGTACAAAAGGATTTTGATGAGAATTTTCCAGAAAAAAAAATTTCGTGATGGAATTCAACCGTGATAGTGTGATTTCTTTATATTTGGCTGGAAACCCACAAGTGGCTATCGTTAGAGCATTCCAGCATTTAAATGTGAATAAATCTTTCGTCACCCACCGCTCGTTAACGTGATACTGGTAGCGTAGCCCGACCTCAAGGAAGTGGACGAAAGAAAACAGCAAAAATGGTTCGAAAAGTACAGAAGCGACTTGATCGAAACCCGCGTCGCAGTGGCCAAAAAATGGCTCGTGAGCTGAACATATCACAATATTCCATTCGGCAAATATTGAAAACTGAGTTTGGGGTAAAGCCATTAAAATTCCAACAAGTACAAGAACTTACACCGCAACAGAAAGAAAATAGACTCAAAAGAACTAAAGGGTTGCTGCGCTTGGCCAAAAGTGATGAACTGCCGAATTTGGTTTTCTCCGATGAGAAAACATTCGTTGTCCAGCAGTTTGTAAACAAACAAAATGATCGCGTTTACTTGCCAAAGAGGCCAGCTGAAAATGTGAACTTTCGGTTGGCCACCAGAACTCAAGCACCGGTCATGGTGATGGTGTGGGCCGCCATAACAGCCGATGGTCGCTCTCCGCTCGTATTAATCGACCGTGGCATCAGAATAAATACCGAATATTATCGCAAACATATTCTGGAGGGTGTATTAAAGTCTTGGTCACGCAAACATTTTGGCCGCAGAACTTGGACATTCCAATTGGACTCAGGACCATTGCACTCAGCATGCGCCACCTAAGAATGGTTACAACTTGAGGTTCTTCGCTTCATTTCCAGCGCACAATAGCCACCAAAATCTTCGGATACCAATCCGTTGGACTATTGTGTCTGGAGTATTTTGGAAAACAAGTTTGGCACTAAAAAATACCAAAGTGTCGATCACCAAGCGATTCGCCGGGAATGTGCAAAAATACAGCAGAGCAACATTCGGGCAGCGTGTGACGGTTTCATTGGCCGTTTGAAGGCCATAATTCGTGCCAATGGTGAGCAATTCAAATAAATCTAAATTTATTCTAAAATTTTATGCTATTTCCGACAGGACATAAGGAGGTGCCGTTATATGGGGCCTATACGAAGACGTGGACCTGCAAAGACAATTTTCGGTCACAGAATGTAGCACCCATTAGGAATTTAAAATACAAAATTTAAAACAATCCGCCCGAATGATGTAAAATCTTCAAAATACCGAATATAGGGAGGTATCGTTATATGGAAGCTAAACCAAAACGTGGACCAATACAGTCGATTTTCAACAACAAAAGTCCTGCAGACCAAACACATATTTAAGTAACATTTTATCAACCTACTTCATATTGTTCGGAAGCCAGAGTGATATCAACAGACGAACAGACTGATGAACGGACATCGCTAAATCTTTGGTGGAGGATAAAAAGCGACCCACACCTTTCGCACGCCGCAGCTTTAGATGGTAAATAAATTGTAATAAAATACAACCTTTTACAATGGGGATGCTCTCCAGACAACTCAAATATACAAATCTTACAAATTTTGAACTGGCTGAGGCGGGCTGTCAGGCAGCTCAACATTTTGTCATCCAATACTAACTCATTTCCAGCTTGGACAGTTAGTTTTTCAAATTGGCCACATCCAAAAAGCTTCTCCAAAGAGGTGATATTTCTACCGTGAAAGGATATTACCTCTTTGGAGAAGCTTTTTGGATGTGGCCAAATTTACGGCATTGGACCTCGGCACTGAAATATTTACCATAGAAAGGAGGAGTGGGATTGATGGCAACGGTCAATCCCCTCAAACAGGTGTTGGCTTTAAGTATTTTAGACATTTTTTGTCAATCCCGTTAGTATTTGCAAGTCAACGGTGAACTCCATTTTAAACTCATGGGTCCTTAATATTTTAGAGCACATGAAGAGACATTTTTCGTGGGTATTGCGTGGATGAATTTCGAATATAAATTTTCAATATTTAAGGAGTAGCTGAGATATGGTAAACCTAATTTGATTACGGTACATTTATATTTTGGTGGTCCTAGGGCTTTTTATACCCTACAACACTACGTGTTGGGGGTATTATAAGTTTGATTGGGCCAAAAATTATGTAATGTTGGTTTCCCACATAGGAAAGTTTATATGGATCTTCCTATCTCGCCGAGCTGAGTCGATCTAGCTATGTATGTCCGTCCGTCCGTCTGTCCATGTTAATCTACAGGTCGCAATTATGGTCCCATCTTCACGAAATATAGAATGGAGGTGGGGATAGGGCCAGAATAGAACCCTATTGCTTTTGGAGGTGATCGCATAATATCTAGGAGTTGAAATGGACCAAAAACTGAAAAATTTCCTGATTTTGCAGCTGCTCTACAGGTCGCAATTATAGACTAATCGAAGCGGAAGTTAGCATGGTTCTAGAGCTTAGGGCTGGGCAGAAGCCTTCCAATTTTGATGGTCATCGGGTAATATTTCGTGGGTGAAATAACCATAACATTTGTGTTAAATAAAAGTCAAATTTTCTATTAAACCGCGAATAATTTTAATCCCGGCGAAATCACAAATAGACGAACAGGTCAATCCTGGCCATTACGTAGATACCGATAGTAATTATATAGGATATATACAGCGAAATATATACAATGCATGTAAACAAATGAAGGGGATGTTACCTAAAATGCTTATATCTCAAGAATGGCTTGGCCGATTTTGACAAATTTTGTCAAATTTGTCAAATCAGAATGCCCTCTTGACATAAAAGTATTAAATCTTTTGTGTAAAAAATACCAGCGTAACTTACAGGCAATATCCGAAATACACAAAAGGCGAACTTCTAAATTTTGTATCCTGGTTTGGTTGACAAATATAGCCAAATATCGGGACAAGCAAATCATATAAATGAATCTAAATTTGGAGATAAAGAGGGGCCTCTTGCTTTTGGAGATGACCGCAAAATATTTAGGGGTGCAAATGAACTAAAAACAGAAAAAAAATTTGATCACATAATTGAAGCCAATCCATACGCCTGACAAGAGGTCACGACGGAGTGCGTAAATATTGGGCAGATATCCCTGGTCAAAATGCTAAGTGTAATATCTGGGCAGTGGTCCGTGACATAATTTCAAAAGCGTTCAAATCCAAAATAGATTTGAACATAAGGGGCCTTCTCACATATTGTAGTTTTGTAGGGTATCACATGATCGGCCCCGCACGGCTATAGCCTTTGCTTACTTGTTTTAAATACTCTCTGCCATAGAATGGAGCGTTTATTAAATTTGTCATTTGTAAATCCGCGAAATACTCCAATCAGACCCAACAACGTATATACATTCTTGATCTGCATAAAATTTTATGTTATCTGTGAAAATCAGTCTAGCTTCCAAACAAAACGACATAGCTTGCAAAACTTTTGGTACTGAATATGGACTATATAGCCCATGAGAGCTATTCGTATTACCCTCATTAAAACGGTGATGATTTTAGCGACATTATTCACGTCTTCTCCGTTTGTAACTCCTCGAAATACTCACTATGGACCCTTCTAAGCATATACATATATAAAGACACCCCCCTTAACGGACTCGTTAGCTTTATGTTTTTTTTTTTTTTTTTTTGAGATGCCTCTTCTTTAATATTATTCTTATGGGAGTGATATGTTGAAAATCGATTCAGGGCTTGATATAGTTTCCAAATTGTGACTACTCTAAAGCCATGATACGCATTCAAATAAGGTATGGTCTACTTCAAATAAATTCCCAATACAATCTTTTTTTTGTTACGAGAGCTTTACTAATTACGTATAGCGGTGTACGGTATCATACAGTTAGGCCCGCCCGACTTTTGACCTTTCTTAATGGTTTAAATTAAACAAATGCACACATTTACACATCTTCCGAATCAGGTGTATTTTTTCTCATCCGGTATCATGGGACAAGCGGTCGTGAGATTATCTATCTCGGAGAATACACAACACCAGGGGAATAAAACAAACTTTCAATACATATATTAAATATTAAATAACGATAATATTTACAA